CGTCAGTCAGTGTGTCGGCTCCAGAGTACAAGGCTAGCAAGCGATTGCTCAGCGTCTTCGCCGGTGACCTAAACTTTGACTTCGAAGGGGGAGTTTGGTTACTATGTAGATTGGGTTCAGTCTCAGGGGTGGACGGGGCCGATTTCACCCAACAACGCTGACTGATGGTGGTTGGAAGTACATCAGGAGAAGTGTGTGGAGGAACATCTGCAAGGTGCTCCTCAAAAGAAGAGGGAAACTGGCAGAACGAGAGTTAATATGGATGAAGGACAGGCGGATATGCGAGCTGGAAAAGGAAGACTGTAAACAGCGTTGAGAAGTTCGAAAAATGTCGTAGAGCGTGCGGCCAGAACATAGGAATGCACCCCATGAAGGGATCCGCCATATGAAAGCCGCAGATTACAGCACCAACCGTTGGCACATAAGGATTTCAAATCATCCTAAAAGTTAAAATACAAGAGACATAGGTTACTCTGAGTTGACCGAACCAGATGTGCTTCAAAGCTGGCGAACGCACAACAGTATTTATTTAGGTATACCCGGAGACCGATAAAGAGTCCTCTCTTGATACCATCCAAATTGGGAGATTAGACTGTCCACCCTGACACTTCCACACTTTGGCTATAGAAACAAAAACCAGTAACTAAGATTGAGAGGCTTTTCTACACTACGTTACGATGCTACACGCTAGGCAACAATGCACTGATAATTTCTCCTCGGTTAGTGATGAAACGCTTGCAACAAAACTCAGTGAACAGTTCAACCGCCAGTTCCACACTTTGCTTGGGGAAGCCAAATACTGTGTCACATTTGATGCCGCTCGATGGTGCACGGAGTCTCTCCGGATCCATGACATGAAATCAACCATCTAGGAAGCCAGCGTCCACCTCATGCATGGCGCATCGTCTCATCCAAAGTTGGTTGTGTAGGTGAATTTCGTTTTCTCTTGAAATATTTTGGACAAAGTTCCGCTTGGATTACAACGAACGTCGCTTGCAAAAGTGAAGTAAGAACCGCGCAACGTCATACAAGCGTCACAGTCGCGGATTACACTTTAAGTCGCCTCAATACATGGGCAATTTATTTAACCGAAGCAGACAAAATTGAGGTGTCTTATCAGCCAGTTATGCAATCATTCACGCTTTCACCTAATTGACACCTAATCTGTTTGTACCTAAAATCTTCCTCATACACTTCCATTTAAGAGGACTAGAGGGTATGGGTTGCCATGTATGACCTCCGGTCATGTATACGCAACCAATAATATTTGCAATAACGCAAGGTCGTATGAGATCGATCCGTGGCCAATTTGTTGCCGATTGATGTACTGCGAGTGACAACCGCCCTCGATCGATAACCGTGGCCTAGCGCAGCTTTGGAATGTGGAAACTTTGCTTCTGCATGACCACAGCAATGACTTGATGAACTTTGCTGGCTAAATGCGTCGTGATTGATAAGCCGTGTTCGTCAATTTATCTTACTCATTGAAGATTCGAGATTTTCTTGCAACTACATAGGGATATTTCTATCGATTCTGACTCTTGGTTTGGTCGGTGCGCCGGAGGATTCGTCCCCACAGCTGCGGATGAATACAAACCTCGAAACATGCAGTAATTCGCCTTTGGTGATGTAATCGGAAGCACGAGTCTGTTGCAGCGTGCCTTTTTGGATGGTGTTCATCTGTTACGTGATTACGCTTAGGATGTGATCAATATTGTAAGACAGCTAGCTATTTAATCGTACGGTAGGCTTGGTTAGTTTGTTTGTTACTTAGTCATATACTCTGTTTACAATTGGCGGAATAGATCACGAATGCATTGTAGGTTAAACAGAATGACCGGTCACCTAGCGGCGCGGACAAAGTAAGTAGAACTCCTGCGATGATATGTTGAAGTTATCTGGAGTGACCTGCTTAAACTGTGTGAAGCAGGGCGAGTGATAGGAGCTATCTAATCAGTACTCCTTGCTCGCAAGCATGATAGACCGCTGTATATTGAAACTGAGATAGGCACAACGGTTAGGACAAAAAGAGCAAGGGTGGAGTGCATCAAAGCCTGTGTTATTTTCCGTAGATGCTCGCAAAATATATGCTACTGCGACGGACAGCAATAAAAAGCTTGAGACCATCATGCAGAGAGTAAAGGTAAGTATAGTGCCTTTCACCTAGAGAGAGGCGTGTCTGGATTTCAACCGTTCTCATACTGACGGTATGCGTGTAAGTGCAGCGACAGAACCACTAGAGTAACTGCAGACTTACTTCAGGAAATGTTCAAATTCTTATATCATGATAAGTAAAAGATCAACGTTCGCCAAGTGTTACAAGCGAGGTTGAAAACAGTGTCAACAGATCATTTACCGAAATGCAAAACAGGTGCGACCGTCAAGTAAGTCAACGATAATTCAAAAGATATTTATCCATTGTCTAGATGAAGAGCAAAGCAAGATACTATTTTGAAAAAGCACAGCGAAGACAAGTGGAAACTTTAGTGTTACGCGCGGGAAGCGACGAAAACAGCCATTTGAAAATTAATAGTTATCACAGTAAAAACCAGTGGAATCAGACAGTACGCTACGTCTACAATCTGTCAGATTAGTTTGATGAATTCGAGATAGCATCGCGGAAGAAAAGTAACTAACCGAGTTCAGAATGCTTGTGGGAATATACTTAAGTCTAACTACAGAGGGCATAATGTATTGCCACAGTGAATTGCTTTTCAAGTTATGAAATGGAAACTGTTTTAAATCATATGGAAATCTAAATGGCTGTTCAGAAAATTCGGGGACAGTTGCTTCCCCATCGCTCCCTCAGTCTGCCCACCTTTTCTTCCGCCATCGGGATGCTCCTTGAATAAAACCGACAGTGGAACAGGACGGAATGTCCCTGGAAAATCTGCCAGAGCGTTTGTATTAATTAAAGTACGAGCAGATAAAGAGAACTAGCAGCAAGAGTGACGCTGCTACTGTGTATAGGATTTTGTCCTTTCTGTCCAGAGAGCTTGTACGTTAATGCATCAAGCTCTCTTGGGGTCTATACCTGCACCGGCTTGTTACGAGCGTACACTAATGCGCTAGACTGAGAGCAGTGACGAAGCAAAGGGGTCTAGCGCTCTTATCCGGTGCAAAGTAGTACTAATAGACGGTTTGAGTTGGATCGTTTGTGGATCTCGACTCCGGAGAATTCGAATTCGATACGCACTGACACCGGGTGACAAAATAAAGAAGCGGCCAAAGCTTTTCCAGATGGTGAGGCCTACACAAACCAGTACAACTGTGACGAAAGACTATGAGAACATATGACATCCGAAATAAACATCTGGAATAACTTAACACATTCGGGCTCATAGTACAACATGTTACAAATAACCGGCTGAGAGTATGTATATTCGGATAATGGTTAAGTTTTATGCGTACCTACCTCTAGCGTCGGGGACTTTGGTCTGGCATCAGCGGATGCGAAGGAAGCATTTTTGACTCTTATTAAGAAGTCGAACTGTGAGCACAACTGGGCTATTTCCGAGTTTGACCATTTTTGAATAAGACTGTGAAATTGCGCAACATGTCTACTGACCGAGTTGGCAACTCCTGTGGTGTATGTCAAAGAGGCATTAACAATATCGGAGGTCCACGAACTGCACTTTTCACTCAGCTGAACGCCATGCCCTTGTGCATTGTCATCAACTAATTCGCACTGGGATGCGTGGACAATGCCAACCCTGTGCACCTGTGATTGGAGGGCTTCTTGAGTGAATAATGTGCGAGGCGAGGAAGCCGATTGATGCAGTCGCTCCGGTCGTAACCGCCAAGTAAAGTCGGCCCGACCAGGTTGTTCATCCAACACCTCCGCCGATGTAACAGAAGTGCCGAGTGTTGACAGAGTGATGTCACTAGTGTTGTGCCCATGCTGATAGGAATGAGCCGGACGCTGTCTAAATGCTGTGGACACATCCGTTTGTTGTCTGCAAGCGTTGCATGTCAGACCAGAAGGATGGGTCGAAATCGATGGACGGATTTGTTGTGCTGAATTTGACACGGGAAACACTCCGAAACTGTAACAGTTACCATGCTTGTCAAGGCCGGAAAACGAAGAGCCCATCAGCGGGATCCGCTGCGGCGCAAGGAGAGAAAGACAGAGAGAGAGGGAGAGGATACAAATAATGTTAAGCAATGAAGACCATTTTGACCATTAGGACAGTTCACAGACCATCTACTAACCAAGTGGATTACGCACATATCGTGTGTTCAACAGGTTAACGAAATCGATAGCCATCGCTATGTGGTAAGCCAATAAAGATTTGTGATATGAAGAGACGACGAGTCAAGTTTGGACTAAATAGTAAAGAACTGGCGGGACATTTAAATCGGCGGTTGCTTTTCGCCGAACCTCAATGTGGGCATACCAGCAGTACAAGAATAGTTTCAAAACTACTTTGGTCAAACTGTTTCAAAGATCACTGCGATCGTCGTACTTCATCCATATTTTGAAGACAAAGGCCGAGACACGCTGGCTGACAGCTGATATATTTTCATTACGAACGGAATGCAGCATAAACATGTCGGCGGAACCTAGTTACAAGACCAGAAAATCGATCAGTTGACCAAAGTTTGTGAAAATGAATGAATCCTATAGCAGACAGAAGACTGTCAACTACACCGAAATACTGTGTATGATTCGCAATTTGGAACACGAAATGTTAGGTCAATTGGAACCAAATTGTGAAATGTTTTAGTAAAATTCAGTGCGCCAGCTTATTGGGTGATGAAAATGGAACATCAGATTATAGTCAAGATTTTTTGGATGATGCCTACGTATATCAGTAGTTTGCCAATTTAAAAACAACACACAGAGTCTGAGGTAAACGTAGAAAACGTGGTCGCATGACTAGGGATGAATTCATCCCTGATTTGTCTAGTGCGATTTTCACAACCAAGCAACAATCGACTGCAAACAATATGTCAAGCTCGGCGAACAAATGAATGAATGAATCACCAACGAGTAGGAGAATGTTAGTTGTAATTTTAATGCAAATGCAATTTTAACGTATTCGTCGCAGCAGTTCACAGGCTACGTAGCACCAACCCCGTCCGGAAAAGCATGTGACGCGCGCTTCGCACTATTGCGGCTCATCAGTGGTGTGCATCCTTCGGTCCGCTACTGGGGATCGAACCCATGACTGTTAGAGGCTGGTGCGCACTAGCCAGCAGCTTATGCCACTGAGCTATGGGGGACGATCGTTAAGCTGCATAATTCGCAAGCTAACTGGGATATAGTACGAAGTACCTTGCACTGCCACGCAGGTTCTTAACAGTAGCTGGCGTTCGAGATCATGACTTCCTCTCAGCAGATGCTATGTTCACAGCATTTGAAACTAGGAGGGGAACATTTCATATTACTCGCGAGTCGGAGGATGTTATTTGTAATTTAAATGTATTCGTCCCGACAGCTCACAACGTACATAGCACAACCCCATCTGGAAAAGCACCGGACGCGCGTTTCGCCTTATTGGGGCTCATCGGTGATGCGCGTTCTTCGGTCCCCTATTCCCTTGGAGCATAAAGGAAAACCGGGTATTGTTTTTATTGACTTTGCCTCTTCTGTTAACCCAAATAGTTTCGTCGCGCAGGTCTGTTAGTCCTGTGGCGACGTCATTTGATTAGATCGATCTCAACATCGAACGAACGCGTTAAATCTGTTCAAACCATTCCATCCATTTTACTTTCCAATGGGCTTCATTTACGAATTTAACACACAATGAGGCACGCCATAATTTGCTAGTGGGCCACATGTCTAACCCACAAACACTACAATATTTGGAAGCTGAACAAAGAATGTTTAGTGTACGTTACGGCAGAAAGTGAACACATTTGCCAATTTACCCATTGTGCAATGTCCACACGTTTGTTTTCAAGTGACAACACATGCACTATCTTGCTCTTGATATGCACAGCGCAGAAGGTGCTCTACTTTACCTGCAAAAAGCTAGCGTACTTCAGAAAGAATTTAAATCCTTAACCAATACATTTGCGTCACAGTATAAAATTCGAAAAATGTAATCAAATACCGTCAACAATCGCGAGCGCTTCATCAAGAAGGGAATTGAAAGAAGGCCAAAACAATATGCTAAACATAAGAATCGTACCAGAAAAGCGAAACACAAAGCCTAACCCACTGATTGCCTCCGTGCAAAAATTGTCAACATCTGTTTTCTAGACAAGGTGTTGTTGAAGCTACATTGTGAGTGCCACCGATGAAGTATTTCAACAGCATTCGCCTAACTGAGAACGGAGTATAGTATGCGGACAAACTCTGAGGTATTGAGCAGTTGTGTACATAAGAAAACAATAAAGGGCAAAAAAATCTCAAAATGCACCAGTCGGTCACTGATCTTTTCGCATCAGTACCACGCTAAATCGGAGTTTTCTGTTTGCCCGAACATTTACCCACGCGTGTGACGAGCGTTATTGCACGTTTTCAGTTCCAAATGATCTGCTAGATCTGACAGAGCTTCATGCGATTACTGATGAGGTCCATTCGTCCGATATCCACATCATTACTAGTGGATACAAAAGAATGCTGTGTACAGACAATAGGCTGAGCGCGTAGTCGTTGTGACCATCATCACCATCACCAACAGCAATACAACTGTTGCTACGCTGCCATACAACCACAAGGACTTACGGAACGAAGAACAGTAAGTAAGAGAGAGAGAAAAGGGAGACTTACCGGAAAACCTTAACACCCTAAGGTAACACTCAGGGTCAAGGCACCTACACCTTGTTTCAACATATCATCATAAACAACTCGCTATCATGCAAAGACAAGGCAGCATCAGTGAAACAACTTCCTTGTGGCATTCACCGCTCCGCGTCACAACCAGCCATTACCCTGCAAACAGCGCAGCGCCAAACACGATTTAACCAGGCAATCCGACTAGGAGAGGACAGCACACGCGCCACTGGTGTCGACTGCGAGCCATGCCCTGTAAAGTTTCAAGCCAAGTACAAGGCGAGTTACGTGGACTCCAGCCTGGAAAGCGAGATAGATGGACGGCACCAAGGTTGGTGGTCAATGACTACATTTCCCGCTGCCAAGTAAACATTTGTCCACCTCGGGCCTTGCGCCACTCCCCATCTGGAAGACAAAACAAAGCCCTATTCGGTAAACTGTGATGTCACCTATGTACTACGTGTCCAAGCCAACGCTACAGATTCAGTGCTATCTGTTGTTCTAAAATACTGACATGCCTACCGCTAGCTAGCATTCGCCAACCCATATTATCGTTGCGGACATGCTAGTGCAATCCGACAACAGCAACACTTCGCAGACAACGATGGTTAAAGACCTGAAGGCACTGCAGGCCCTCAGATCGAAAGAGTCAAGTCTCATTTCGATAAAGTAGAACGGCCCTCACCGTGGCCCCATGAACACGGCCTGTCAGACCGACAGAAACCTCTTTCTAACGTCACAGATGACGCAGATACAAAGGGATAGTTCTTGCTTTAGCAATGCGTAAATTGACTTCAAATACCATGCGCCCATTGTTGCTGATATATGTGCCAAGGTAAGTGAGTTGGTCGACTACCTCGAGTTCCTCGCCATCAAGAGTCAAGAAGTCATCAGAAGACTAGTGGTCCTGTAACAGAGTTTCACGTACTAAAGGTGCAAAGCGCATGCTAAATATTGAGACCACTCTGATGAAGCTATTCAAGATTGATTCCACAGCCCCAACATGGTTAAAAAGCAAGACGATATCCTCCGCATAATCAAGATCAACCAGCTTTGAGTACTGGTATCTCAAGTAGACGAGTTAGTTGCTCAATTGTTCAAGGAGCTTGGCAATTCGGTTGCAAACATTCCTCCGCAGGACAACAACTCTAATTCCTTTATGAATGTTTACCAAAGGATCTTCTCCCTCAGTTACAAACCGCCGATCAATTATCCGCAATCGTGATCAGCTGCTCGACAATTCGGAAAGCGTACTATATGAGTGATTTCCACTGGCGCTCACAATGGTCTTAAGAAATAGGAAGGACGTCTGAACGAGCATCGATCTGCCTGCCTTCAAACAATTGGAAAAACGCTGACAGAACGATTCGACGCCGAAATTGAACGTCAGTTGAGAAACGTCAAGATGAAGAAGCATACCGCGTTTCTCTATAAGTTATCAAAATTGATCTCTTGTAAAAACAGAAATACCAGTCGACCAATCAACGAAGACGAACAGCACGTTTTCATCAAGGAATTAGACCAAATTTCAGAGGTGTAACAACTACAGGCTTCCTGACGCACCCGAAAGCGTTCTACGATCCAATGGATTAGATGGGGAGATTCAGAATCAAATAAAATATGCAACTGTCCAAGCTATAACGCGCAACAACCAACACAACACGCGAATCCGACAAGGAAAAGAAGCAATAAAATTCATGAAGTCTGACGAAACTATCATTAACCTAACAGCTGACAGGGGACGGGCGATCGTCATAATGGACAGGGAGGATTACACTGAGAAGGCTATGCGCCTCCTGAACGACAGAACAACCTACAGGTGCATCAACGCCGGTCCAACTTCGCAGGTGACAAACAAAATAAACAGAATCTTGAAACAGATTCAGGAATCGAACCGAATCACAAAGGAGGAACATCGCGCAGTTCTACGGACTTCCAAAGGTACACAGAGATGGTGGTGCGCCGATTCGGCCGATTGTGTAAATCCCGTGGACACCCACCTACAATCTGGAGAAAGAAATGTGAAGTCGTCTCACACATCTGACCTGTGGATCGCAGTATTCCATAACCAATGTATAGCAATTTCTACAACAGCTTAAAGACCTGCGAATAGATAATGATGAAACTATGATATCTTTCAATGTGGCTGCCCTCTTGACGTCTGTCAACTTGCAGATAGCAACAGCAGTCATCAAAGAACGCCTGAACAACAGTGAACAACTAACCATGATGACCGAAAAGGTATGCAAGTTACTGCAACAGTGTCTGTTAACCTACTTCTCTTTCAGCGGGAAGATATATGAGCAAATGAAAGGAGCATCAATGGGATCACTCGTAAGAGAATTCCTCGCGGAGACGGATATGCAGAAATTGGAGGGCGA